ATACTGAAAGTGCCATGGACTTCCAAAAGAACCAATAGATCTGTTTTGGAAGAAGTGCAACCAGAGTGCTCCTTGGAGGCCAAGATGGCTAGGCTTCGTCTCTCATACTTTGGACACATTGTCTGGAGAGAACAGTCACTGGAGAAGGATGTCATGCTGGGTCAGGTGGAGGGTCAGAGAAAAAGAGGAAGACCCCCAACGAGATGGATCAGCCAAGTGACATCATTGATGGGGTCAAGTGTGGCAGCGGTAGTGAGGTTGGCCCAGGATCGGACATTGTTTCGTTCTGCTGTGCATGAGGTCTCTATGAGTCGGTTCTGACTCGATGGCACCTGACAACAACAACAAATTTGCAGACAATAGGATTCTGTACATAGAAAACCCCAAACACTCAGTATAAAAGCTACTAGACCTCATTGGAAGATTCAGTAAAGTGGCAGGATATAAGATCAATATACAAATATCAGTTGGATTCCTCTATACCAAAAATGACAGCTTTGAAAAGGACATTAGGAAAGTAATCCCATTTAAAATAGCCACCCAAAGGATGAAATATCTAGGAATAAATGTAACCAGAGAAACAAAGGACTTATACAAATAAAACTACAAAATACTACTACAAGAAACCAAAAGAGACTTACAAAAATGGAAGAATGTACCATATTCCTGATAGGAAGACTTATCATTGTGAAAATGTCAATACTGCCCAAAGCAATTTACACATATAATGCAATCTCAATCCAGATTCCAACAACATTCTTCAAAGAATAACAATTACAAACTTAATATGGAAAGGAAAGAGACCCAGGATAAGCAAAGCGCTGCTTAAGAAGAAGAATACGGTTGGAAACCTCTCACTGCCCGCCTTCAAAATTTTCCACATGGCTACAGTGGTCAAAACAGCTTGGTACTGGTACAATGAAAGATACATTGATCAATGGAACAGAATCAAGTATCCAGAAATTAACCCATCCACATACAGCCAACTGATTTTTGACAAAGTGCCTAAAAATATTGCATGGGGAGGTGATAGTCTCTTCAACAGATGGTGTTGGCAGAACTGGAAAGCAATGTGCAAAAGATGGAAACCAGACCTTTACCTCACGCCATATACAAAACCCAACTCAGCATGGATTAAAGACCTAAGTGTGAATCCCAGAATTATAAAGGCCATCAATGAAAAAAATGGGACAAATGTGAGGGCACTAATTCAGGGAAAACATAGACCACCAAACATTTTGAAAACTACACAAACAAAAGAAGACAAAATAGATGATTGGGACATACTGAAAATTAAAAACGTATGTGCAATACGATGGAATGAATGTAAAACTAAAGTTATCTCATGTAAACTATCATATAATTCACAATGTTGTTGTTGTTGTTAAGTGCCATCGAGTCGGGTCCGACCCATAGCGACCCTAATAAAACATTAAAAAAAACCCACAAAAACTTAAGTGCATCAAAAGGCTTCACAAAGAGTAAAAAGGGAACCCACAGAATGGGAAAAAATCTTTTGCAATGACGCATTGAACAAAGAACTAATATCTAAAATATATAGGAAACTACAACACCTCTGGTTACGAATCGGGCTGCGAACCTTAAGGTCAGCGGTTCGAAACTACCAGCTGCTCCGCGGGAGAAAGATGAGGCTTTCTACTCCCGTAAAGATTTATACCCTCGGAAACCCTATACAGGGTCGCTATGGGTCGGAACCGACTCGATGGCACATAACAACAACAACAACAACACCTCTACAAGAAAAAGACAAATAACCCAATTTAAAAATGGGCACAGAACATGAACAGACACTTTACCAAGGAGGATATTCAGGCAGCCAACAAACATATGAAGAAATGTTCACAATCATTAGCCATTAGAGAAGCAAATCAAAACAACAATGAAATACCATCTCACACCAGTAATAACAGCAAAGAGCAAAAAAGTAGAGGACAACAAATGCTGGCGAGGATGCGGAGAGACTGAGACCCTCCTACATTATTGGTGGGATTGCAAAATGATCCAATCTCTCTGGAAAGCAATGTGGTGCTTCCTCGGAAGGTTGGAAACAAACTGTGGTACATACACACAATGGAATACTATGCTACCTTGAAGAATAACAAGTAAGCTGCAAGCCACCGCATAACATGGATGAACCTTGAGGACATTATGCTGAGTAAAATTAGTCACAAAAGGGAAAATATTGCATAGGACCATTATTGTAAAATATTATGAAAAAGAACCCACCCTAAAAGGGGAAATAACTATATATGTATATATATTCTGATCACTGGAATGTATGGGATAAGGGGAGGGGAGGGAGGAGAAGATGGAGCACAGGGTAGGGTATAATAGACATAGGATAGCTTGGGTGCTGGGGGGAGCAATATACAAGGAGGAGGAGGGGAATGGAAGAACAAAGCAGATGGGAGAACAGTTAGGCTTACATGGGCTAAGTGGGACAGAGTAAATAATGATGTATGCACAACCTTGAAACAACAGAGCTCTGGGTCACAGAGACTGAAGCATGGTTGGAATGGGTAAAAGAGGGGAAATCTTGTTAAAATGCTTGGCTGTCTTTTGAATCTTGGTTTCACTTGCCTACCGTTGTAAAATAGACACTTGAGGGGAAGAGAAAGGAATAGCCAGAAACATCACAATAGAAAGCTTGTAAGTCCGTCTTCAGCCTATAGCTGATTGGAATGCCTTAAAGGGGACCAGAACTTGCCCAGTGAAAGAGGCTTCCTGTGGAGCCTTTGCTTTGCATAAGACCATAGGTGGAATTCTGAACCCCATCCAGAATCTTCTGAGGTGGTAAATTTCCACTTGAAAGGACAAGCAAACCAGCCTGGAGCAGCTAGAAGAACAGAAGATACTTGAAAGAAAGACCAACCGACAGGAAAAATACAAAACAATAATGGCAGTCTGATTGATTACTGTAAGAACAAGCAAGCTGTTTGCCTGGGAGCCATCAAGGCAAGTGGTTGGGTCCCCTCAGAGCAAACTCCCTTCCAAGACTAAAACTCAAGGGGAATACGTGAGTAGGCATGTGGTCTGACTGGTGACCACGTTGACCACCGATAAGGGGAAGTGAGGGAAAAACAGCAATGAAGTTGTGAGCTAAGTCCGACCTCATTCAATAGACTCCTTGAACCTGGGTGGAGACCTGGTTGGCCAGCTGTATGGCAAGGCTTGGGGACTCCTGGGCCCAGAGACAGTGAGTGACATGGCCACAGAGGACTAGAGTGAAGAATGAAGCGTCCAGCTGATATGAAGTGAGAGGAGATGCACAAGAACACCCATACTTGCAGATAGTACCCACTTGACCTGGCTTCAATGGCTGGATGATCAGAACTTGACTAGAAGAATCAAGAAGAGGGAAAAAAGAGTAATCTGCTACAATTTGGTGAACTTGACCTATACTTATGGATGTAGTAGCTCAAAAGAGGGATCATTTATAGCCAGGATCATTCCCACCCACTCCATACACAGGGTTGACAGGGATGGGCTACTTAAACATTGGCTACCCAAAAAGGGGCTACAAAGGCAAGAAGTGACTGGCTTACAAACTTTCAAGAGGGAGCCTAGTTCCACAGGGGGCGGGGGAAGGTAGAATCTCCACTGAGTAGTTTCCAATCTGATGGGACGGGGCTGATGAAAGGAGATGGGGATAGGACTCTTGTGGTACAATAGTGAATAACTGCTATCAGGACTGTGAGGGTCAGAAATATAAAGGTAGATGTTTTGTAACAAAAGGAGGGGAGTGGTTGATTTTGCAGTTCAGGAGCGGAGGTCCCAGGGACCATCAAGTGAGAAGAGCGGAGTGCGGGACCCTACCCAGAGAAGCCGTGATGCCAGAAATGGAGGCAGAGACCATGACGTGGACAGATGGAGCAGCTGGGGACTCTGGACTCAGGGAGGGAGAGGGGCTGTGTGCTGATGGCCGGGGTGGGGGCGGGGGGCGGATGACAGACTTGCGGGGTATACCCTTTGGTTGTTTGATGGAGGGTATTGTAATCATTGCAGTGAAAGGAAATATGATAAGATGAATGCAAAGCTGGTGTTCTCACACAGAAATTATTACATAATACATGATAAGAATTTAAGAAAGAAAAGAAATACAGTCACCGTGCCGAAAAAAAATTGGTCTACATTCAGCCATTTCAGGAGGTAGCATATGATCAAGAACCAATGGTATTGAAGGAGGAAGTCCAAGCTACACCAAAGACACTGGTGAAAACAATCCAGGAATTGACGAAATACAGATTAAAATCTTTCAACAAACTGATACAGCACTGGAAGCGTTCATGAATCTGTGCCAAGAAATTTGGGAAACAAAACAGCTGACTGGCCAACTGACTGGAAGACATCCACATTTGTGCCCATCCCAAAGAAAGATGACCCAACAGAATGGGAAGTTATCAGACAATATCAATATCACATACAGGTGATATTTTGCTGGAGATCGTTAAAAAATGGTTGTAGCGTTACATCAACTGCCAGAAATTCAAGCAGGATTCAGAAAAGGACATGGGATGAGGCATATCATTGCTGACATCTGATGGATCTTGATGAAACCAGAGAATACCAGAAAGATCTTCATTTGAGCTTTATTAACTATGAAAAGGCATTTGACTGTGTAGATCATAACAAACTAAAGATAACATTGTGAAGAATGGAATTCCAGAACATTTAATTGTGCCTACGTGGAACTGACCAAGGGGCAGTTGTTCCAACAAAGAGACAACACAAGTTCAAATAAAAGAAGAGAATAGTGAATGGTTTAAAATCAGGAAAGTTATGCTCCAGGATTGTGTTCTCTCACCATACTTATTCAATCTGTATACTTAGCAAAAATAATTTAAGAAGCTGAACTGTATGAAGAAAAATAAGGCATCGGGATTGGTGGAAGATTCATTAATATCCTGTGATATGCAGATGACCCAACCCTGCCTCCTGAAGTGAAGAGGATTTGAAGCACTTGATGATGATGACCCACCGATATAGTCTTCGGCATGAATTATAATTAAATGTAAAGAAAACAAAAATCCTCACAACTGGACCAATAAACAACATCATGATAAACAGAGAAAAGATTATAGTATTTAAGGATTTCATTTTACATTTCCTCCACCATCAACACTCATGGAAGCAGCAGGTAAGACATCAAACCACACATTAGGCAAATCTGCTGCAAAGATGTCATTTTGAGGACTAAAGTGTTCCTGACCCAAGCCATCGTATTTTCAGTCGCTTCATCTGTGTGTGAAAGTTGGACGATGAATAAGAAAGGCTATGAAAGAATTGATGGATTTGAGTTCTGGTGTTGGAGAAGAATGTGGAAAGCACCATGGACTGCCAGAGAAGTAAAGAAATCTGTGTTGGAAGAAGCTCACCCAGAATGCTCCTTAGAAACCAAAATGAAAAGGGAGTCTTTGTCTCACATACTTAGGACATGCTTTTTCAGGAGGGACCAGTCCCTGGGAAAAAATGTCAAGCTTGGTAAAGTGGACAGTCAGTGAACTAACACCGTAGCAGCAACAATGGGCTGAAACGTAGCAATGGGGAGGATGGTGCCGGAGGGGCTGTGCTTCGTTCTGTTGTATTTGTTGTTGTTGTTGTTACATGCCATCTAGTCTGTCCCAACTCACAGCGACCCTGGATAAGGTTTCCAAGTGCGACTGGTGGGTTTGAACTGTCAACCTTGTGGTTACCAGTCAGTGCTTACCCTATAGCATCACACCAGAGCGCACTGTGGGGCATGTTGCTGTCGTTAAGTGCTGTCACGTTGGTTCCGACTCATAGTGACCCTACAGGAGTGACTAGTGGGTTTGAACTACCGACCTTGCAGTTAGCGGTCCAGTGCTTATCCTACAGTGCCACGCCAGGACTCCACAGAGTCACTGTAAGTTGGAACTGATTGAAGAGCATCTAACCACACACACATTCACATGCACAGTGGGATACGCATTGGGCTGCTAACTGAAAGTTCAACCCTTCGAATCCACCAGCCGCTCTGTTGGAGAGAGTTGAGGCTTTCTGTTCCTGTAAAGATTTGAGCCTTGGAAACCCTATACAGGGTAGCTGTGAGTCCGAAGGTATCCTGGTGTAGCACTGTAGGATAAGCACTGGACTGCTAACTATGTCGCTATGAGTCGGAACCAGCCTGACAGCGCCTAACATCAGCAACAACATGAGCCTGAATTGACCTGTCGGTACACAACCACCAACATGTGTATATGTAGCACTTATGCAGTACTTAGTATATTTCAGATACTATTCTAAGTGGGGCTTTTGGTGGAGGGGGCTTGGTGTGTTGATCCTTATACGGACCCATTGCACAGATAAGAATACCGAGGCCCAGAGTCTCAGCACTGCTGAACTATAACACTGACCCACTCTGGTCTCCTCCTAAACTCCTCCTTGAGAGCATGGAGTATGGCTGACGGCTACAGAAACCGTCAATATTGATGGCATTTTTAACCACCTGTGAGGCATTCCTAGGGGTGGGCTGGGGGTGGGAGGCACTAGCCCTGTCTGGCTCCTCTAGGTATGACAGGCAGAAGCTGACCCTGAAAGACATTCATAACTGTCAGTACGTGGCCTGCATGAACCCCACCTCCGGATCCTTCACCATTGACCCTAGACTCCAGGTGAGTGGAGAGCAAGTTTGTCAGGACCATGGGTTTGAGGGAGGCCGAAAGCATGGGTCTGGAATGGTGGGACTTTGGGAATGGTGCTCTGTGGATTGCTCACTGTCCACTCAGAATGGGTCAGTCCTCCCCATGCCCCCATGAGGCTGCCACATTGAGCAAACAAAAACACAGATGCCCGTTCAATTTAATTGCAGATAAGCAACAAATCAGTTTTTAGTATAAGTGCCGTGTGTTTTTGGTGATTTTCGCATACAATGTGCCCACACACGCATAATACACATAGGAGACAATGTGTGAAGTGACCATGTGTTGTTGGTTAGTTCTGACCAGTCAGTTCCAACTCATAGCAACTCATGTATAGGGTTTGCAAGGAGCAGTTACTGGGTTTGAACCACCAACCTTGTGTATGTGTGTGTATGTATATATATATATATATATATATACTTCCAAAGTTCATGAAAACACTCCAGTATCTTTCCATTCCATTTTTCCACAAACTTTTGAAGCCCTGCCCCCCCCCCCATACTTTCATACATATGTTTGTTGGTTATCTACATTATGTCTGCAGCCCTCCCCGGGCAGGACCTGAGCTCTCCATCATTTCAGAGATGGGGACTCAGCCCAGGCCCGCCCTCTGAGTTTGTCCCTGCCATCATTGTTCTTGAGAACAGCTTCACGCATAGTCAATATTCCATGTGACTTTACTGGCCATCCTGACCAATGTGGACAGGGTTTGGACCCTGAGGGTCTCCTGACACAGGTTTCTGTCTGTCCCCGAGCAGCGTCACTTCTGCGTGTTTGCTGTGAGTTTCCCCGGTCAGGAGGCGCTTATGACCATCTACAGCACCATCCTAGCCCAGCACCTGGCCTTCCGCTCGGCCCCCATGGTGGTCCAGAAGATGAGTGGTCAGCTGGTGGCCTCGGCCTTGGGTAAGCTGGCCAGCTGCTGCCCCTTGCTTGTCGATAAAACCTACTGCTTTATAAGGCTGATGGCTTCTCGGTTCTTTCCCCTGGTAAATATTTTATTTATACTTTTGAATCAATACGTTCTAAATGATGCTCCATTTCAACAGGAGATATCGTGAAGCCCAGTTGCGTCAGGGGGAGATAGAGGACAGGAAACTCAGTATACAGAAATAATTTATACGTCAGTAGCGGCAAGCTTCCCCCCTCTTCAGCTATGCACATTTCTTCCTCAAATTGTTACTATTTCGTAGTCCATTTGCTTGAAAAACTTTCCTATAAGCTCTGCATTTCCTGAGGCCATTAAGAGCACATAGGAATCGATGTATCTTTTTCCTGTAACAGCCTTGCATCAGAAAGTTGCAACAACATTTCTTCCCACGGCCATTAAATTTCATTATGTCTTCAATCTCAGGGACCTCTCCAACATTTTCCAGGTACTAGTTTTTAGCTCTACGGTATACTCCCTCGGAGCCAAGTCCCCAGCCCATCGGTATTCTCCAACTCTGACTGCCCTCAGGAGAGAGGGCTGAGTGGTAGTGGGCTGATGCTGGTGATGATGATGGTGATGGTGGTGATGATGATGATGGTGATGATGATGGTGATGGTGGTGATGATGATGATGGTGATGATGATGGTGATGATGATGGTGATGATGATGGTGGTGATGGTGGTGGTGATGATGATGGTGGTGATGGTTGTGATGATGATGATGATGATGGTAGTGATGATGTTTGCTCTGCTTTACTGATTACGTACTCTGAACCAGGCACTGAGTTTGGCCACTTACACTTACATTTTCTCCAAACAACACATGCTTGGTGTTCATATGTCCCCATTTTGCAGAGGGGAATCTGAGGCTCAGGGTGATTAGGTCATGCCTGTCTTCTGCTTCAAGTGGTAGCTCAAATGCCCCCACCCCCACACTCTCCATCTCACTGCCAGGCTTATTTCAGCTCTAGCCATATCACAATACGTCATTACCTTGTTATTTAGCTACCTGGTTATGTCTCCACACTGGAATGCAGATTTCATGAAGCAGTGTCTAAGCGCATGGCAAATAGCAGACCCTCTATAAACCCTTGTTGGATCTGCCCACGACTGCTCAGTTAGTACATGGCCAGGTCAGAACAGGACGCAGGCAGTTTCCGGAGTAGCCCGCACGCCTAACCCTCTGCTCTTTGGTGGCCTGTGGTAGTCTGCCCCCTGCCCCCATGGTCAGTCACCCTTGTCCTTTCTCCACACCCTTAAAGGCTGGAGCCCTCAAGGCCACAGGGTTTGTAGGATCAGTGCCCTCACTGGCCCAAAGTGGGTTATCCCCTGGGGAGTGACATCTCTTCTCCTCTGACCTCTGAACACCAGGCCCTCCTAAAGCAGCTCCACTCTGACCGCTCTGTGTTTGGGGCAGGGTCTCCTGTTCTCCTTGGTGGATATCTTGAAGACCCCACTGGAGCTTGTTCGCCTATGGCTGCATGAAGCTGAACGAGTGTACAGTGACAAAATGGTCGACAAAAAAGACCAGGAAACACTGGGCAGAGTCACTGTTGCCTCCACCAAGAAGTTCTTTGATGTGAGTCAAGCCACCAACACCCCCGCTGCTGCTGATGGTGGTGGTAACAATGATGAATGGTGATGAGCCACCCTTTCTCAAGAGGGGCCAGTCTCCCCAGGGCTACAGACAGGCAGCATCTACTGCCCGGTGTCTTGCAAGCCCCCTTGGATGGGGATGGGGTGGTCCACATGAAACGCAGACCCAACAAACTGACCCCAAACCGATTCATGTGTGTCCAAGTAAGACACAGCGCTCTGTGGGGTTTTATGGCTGTAACCGTTCAGAAACCTATTGCCAGGACTTTATCTTCCAAGGTGCCTCTAGGTGGGTTTGAACTTCCAACCTTTCAGTTAGCAGCCGAGCTTTTACCCCTTTGTGCCGCGCAGGGTACCACGATCTGTGTTACCCAGAACAAAACCAGCCTACGGGCCTCGAGTCGACTCCTCTCAGAGACAGCATCACGACAGGGCAGAGTGGAACTGTACCATAGGGTTCCTCCTGTGGAACAGCCGGCTGGTGGGTTTGAACCATTGCAGTCCAATACCTAGCTCACTGTGCCACCAAGCTCCTTATCATTCATGTTGTTGTTGTTGTGAAGTGCCGTCAACTTGGTTCTGACTTATAGCAACCCTGTGTAGGGTTTCCAAGGAGCAGCTGGTGGGTTTGAACCGGTGACCTTTTGGTTCAAACCGACCTTGCGGTCCAGTGCTTACCCTATACCAGGCCTTTACTATGATCCACACTTTGTTAAGTGCCGTTGAGTGGACGTGGGCCTGAGAAGAAAGACCAGGGCCACTCAGCATTTCAGGGCCCAGCATCCTCCTCCACCCTGCTGGGGTCAGGAAAGGCCCCTCTCCCTTGCTCCCATAGATGGTGGATGTGCCCTTGGTCTTCTTGGTGAAAACTCTTTTTTGGATAAGTCGGTCATGACTTGCATGGTGGGGACTGGACCACCCACCAGGGATTGATGCCCAACAAGATTTCTGTGTCCACAACAGCAGTCTGGGGCCCTGGAGACTCACCCTGGCATCCTGGGGGGTCCATTAGGTCATCTTGGCAAGAGGCAGGCACTGCCAATTACTAAGTTCATGGTGGCAAAACAAAAGAACAAAAGATGAAAGTGTTGTTCCCCTAATTCTAGGATCTTGGAGACGAATTCTTATTTGCCAAACCAAATATCTTCTGCCATTTCGCTCAAGGGATTGGCGATCCCAAATACTTCCCAGTGTTCGATATGGCTCATCTGAACAAGCTGTTGGTAGAAGCGCTGGACAGTTACAATGAGGTCAATGCTGTCATGAATCTGGTGAGTAACAGCAAGGCTGGGAGACGGTGAGATTTCAGCGGGTGGCGGGACCCACAGCAAACACGCCAACAGGCCACCCTGCTGACATGAAGCCAGGGGTACGATGGCAAGGACCAGGGCAGCTGTGAGACATGGGGGGCTCTCTCTGGTCCCCACAGGTGCTGTTTGAAGATGCAGTGGCTCACATCTGTAGAATCAACCGCATCTTGGAGTTGCCCCGAGGGAACGCTCTGCTGGTCGGCGTGGGTGGCAGTGGCAAGCAGAGCCTGTCCCGTCTGGCCGCGTACATCAGTGCCCTGGACGTGTTTCAGATCACCCTCAAGAAGGGTTATGGGATCCCAGATCTCAAGGTGAGAGGGTGTGATGCTGAGGAAATGTCCCCAGACCCTTCTCTGCAACAAAGCCAGCCAGCATGCAACATCAGACCCGCTGGCAACAGGCCCTGTCTTGTAGTTGTCCTTGTTAAGTGCCATCAAGTGGGTTCCGACCCATAGCGACCCTGTACACCAAGGAGCAGCTGGTGAGTTTGAATCACCGACCTTAAGGTTCAAACTGACCTTGCGGTCCAGTGCTTATCTTGCAGCGCCACACCAGGCCCTGTCTGGGAGATCTTTATTGTAGAACGCAGAGGCGAGCTAAAGTGGGCTCAGATTCCAAGGCCCTAAGGGACCCTATTCTTGCCCTTCATCACACAATTCCTCCAATGGTTCTAAAGCTCTGGCTCCGCATGGCTGCTTTCTGAATTAATAAAACAAACACTGATGTAAACAGGTCTCCCATCCCCCAGGATGTACCACCGAGGCTCTTATTGATTTCCTGTTCCCGAATATTTGCTCTCGCAGGGACCCAGGCGCTTAGTCAAACACTATTAGTCCAGAGCAAATCACCGCAGAGCTCCCGATCAAAATTGATTTGACCAAGTGTGCACGCGGTGAGCCCACACAGTTCCATGGTGTTGGTGCTTGGGGCAGCTTTGCAGCTCCTGAACAAAGCCAGGCCCTGCCGGGAAATCCAAGGGGAGCTTCCCAGAGCCTTCCAGCCACGAACCCTGGGGCGGTCATGGGTCAGCTGGCTGTAACTCCCCACTCCACTCTGGGGTGCTGGAAGAAACGGTTCAGATAAGAAGTTAGTTCACAGTCCCCATCTCCTCCCAGCATCCCCAAGGCGGAGGCACCGCTGTCTCCAAAAGAGAACTGGCTTCAAGTTGTCATTACCCTTTACTTTCCCCAAAATCTCTGGTAGCACGGTGGTTTAAACACTCGGCTGCTAACCACAAGGTCGGTAGTTCAAACCCACCAGCTCTCCACAGGAGAAAGATGAGGTTGTCTGCTCCCATAAAAATTGACAGTCTTAGATACCCTATGGGGCAGTTCAGCTAGAGGATCACTGTGAGTCAGAAACTACTAGATGGCAGTGAATTTTTGTCTTTCTTTTGTATCTTTCCCGTATAGTGTTGTTAAGTGCTGTGGAGTCCGTTCCTACTCATAGAGACCCTGTCTGTATAGGGTTTCCGAGTAGCAGCTGGTGAGTTTGAACCACCAACCTTGTGGCTAGCAGTCCAGTGCTTATCTTACAGCACCACACCGAGACTTCAATAAAGGGACTAGACAACTGTATTGTAAAACCTAGTGTGAGGCGTTCCTAGGGGCAGGGGAGGCTACAAAAAGGAACTCTAAATGGCAGCTCTGTAAGATAGACACTGGACTGCTAACTGCAAGGACAGCAGTCCAAACCCACCAGCTGCTCTGTGGCAGAAAGATGAAGCTTTCTGCCCCCTTGAAGATTTGCAGCCTCGGAAACCCTACAACTGGACACAGGGTTGCTATGAGTCATACTCTGTGTGTTTGGTTTTGAAAGGGGGAGCACTTTGTGTTCCATTGCTAACCTAAAGGTCGGCAGTTTGAACCCTACAGAAGGCCTGGCATTTTGAGTCCCTAAAGGTAGCAGCCAAGAAGACCCTTCCTTCTGTGTTACACACACAACTCTACGGGAATGGGTCTGTCCTTACAGTGTAAAGGGAAAGGTCTCACTAAGATGTTGGCTGCTGTCGAGTTGGCCCCCGGCTCATGGTGACCAGTGGAAGCAAACATTGCCCAGTCCCCCAATACCCCATTGATAGGCTGTAGTCGAACCCTTAGAGCTTCTGTGGCTGAGTTTTGGAAGTAGAACACCAGGTCTTTCTTCCTAGTCTCTCTTCATCTGGAAGCCCCACTGAAACCTGCTCACTTCATTATGATTGAGCCCACGCAACACAGCGCACACCATCCCTATAGGAAGGAGGCCGTGGAGTACTACCCTGCAGGGTCTCCAAGGCCGTCACCTTTATGGGAGCAGACAGCCACCACTTTCTCACAGGGAGTGGCTGGTGGGTTTAAACCACCAACCTTTGGGTTCAACGCTGAGCACTTGACCACTGCACCCCCAGAGCTCCTTTTGTGCAGCCCCCTAACAGCTTGCAGACCTCCAGTGACAGACAGGTGTTTGCTGTACGTGAGATGCACGGGGTGGGAACTGAACCCCATCCTCCCACGTGGAAGACGAGAGTCCTACCATGGATCTATCACTTCTCCCTTGGATTTACACGCATACCATTAATGTGCATGTAAATTCAATGCATATTAATGAAAAGCAATTTGATTCCTCATGGTATTAATGCTGGCATTCCCTCCAAGACTGTAAAGCAAGCAGAGCATTCCCTTCTTCTCCCAAACCCACCGCTGACTCCCAAAGTAGGACCCTCACCGCAGTAGGCTGCGTCCAAAAACATCCCTGAGCTCCTACCCGAAGTGCTTCCCTTATTCTAGTCCAGCTGTCAAAAACTGTGGCGTTTGAAGCCAGCTTTGGTCCCAGTAGGAACCCTGTAGGTCCCTGTAGGAACCCTGGTGGTGCGGGAGCAATTACGAGCTTGGCTGCTAACCGAGAGGTCAACAGTTCAAACCCACCTGCTGCTCCTCAGGAGATGAACATGGCAGTCTGCTCCCATAAAGATCTTCTCGCTCCGATGGTTGCTGTCAGTCCTGATCGACCCGGTGGCAGATACTTTGGCTTGGATTTGATTTGAGAGTCTCTGGCCAAGGTTTCCCATCTCCTCTTCTCAAGGAGAAACCCCAGCTGTCACACCTGGAGAGCTTCATTCGGATGGATATTTCTAAATGACAACCTTCTTGACAAGGAGTCTGCCTTTGTTTCTTCGTGATCTTACAAGGGAGTGGTTTTGAAGAACACACGTTTATTCTCTCACCATCCAGGAGGCAGGAAGTCTGAATGCAGGACTCCGGCCTGCGTCTGGAGAGACGTCCTTGTCTCGGTGTAGGCCCGGTGTTCTGTGGGTCCTTGGTGGTCTCCACGTGGCGTCCATATTTCCTGTATCCTTCCTGCCTTCTCTCTGCCTCTTCTTAGATCTCAGAAGCCATTTGAGTTAAGATACCCCCTGCTCTCTGCAACCTTGTTAGCATCATGAAGAAACCCTATCCGCACATTCGATCCCATGCTCAGAAATCACCCACTCACCGCCATCGAGTCGATTGTGACCCCCAGTGACCATGCAGGACAGGGTAGAACTGCCCACAGGGCTCCCGAGACTACACATCTCCACAGGAGCAGACAGCCTTACCTTTTGCCCATGAGCGGCTGGTGGGTTTGAACTGCCGACCTTGCAGCTCAGTGCTTGACCCCCAGCACCACTAGGGCATCTTTCCACAGGAATAGGAGTCCGGATGCCAACACTTCTTTGGGGGCGGAGGGACACACATGAGGGAGTCTGAGCATGTCCCCATCGTCTCCAGCTGGACCTGGCCACCCAGTACATAAAGGCGGCGGTGAAGAACGTGCCCTCTGTGTTCCTGATGACCGACTCCCAGGTGGCGGAGGAGCAGTTCCTGGTGCTCATTAACGACCTGCTGGCGTCGGGCGAGGTCCCCGGGCTCTTCACAGACGACGAGGTGGAGAATATCATTTCCTCCATGCGGCCCCAGGTGAAGTCAATGGGCCTGTCTGACACCCGGGAGATGTGCTGGAAGTTTTTCATCGACAAAGTGCGCAAACAGCTCAAGGTGGGGACTCTGCCAGCTCTGGTGGAGGTCCGGGGTCTGTCCTCCATGTGGGGCGGGGGGAGCTGGGCCCTTAGGGCTTCGGAAATGGGCCAGGAGCTGACAATGTGGCTGCCCGATGGGCCGGACCACCAGGAGCAGGACTCAAAGCCACCCGACGTGTGTCACAGTAGAGGGCTTCCTGTGAGTGACTTTTCAGAAGTAGACCACCAGGCCTTTCTGCGAAAGGGCCTCTGGATGGACTCGAACCACCAACCTTTCAGCCACCCAGGAAACTCCTCCCTCCCCGTTCCTTTGTACAGACCCGTGTCCTATACCACACAGGTCATCCTGTGCTTCTCCCCCGTGGGATCCGTGCTCCGAGTGCGAGCGAGAAAGTTCCCTGCGGTGGTCAACTGCACGGCCATCAACTGGTTCCATGAGTGGCCCGAGGACGCCCTGGTGTCGGTCAGCGCCCGCTTCCTGGAGGAGACCGAGGGCATCCCGGTGAGGGCTGGAGGTGGGCGGGTGACTGTGTGTGTGTGAGGGTGACTCTGTGTATGAGGGTGACTGTGTGTGTGAGGGTGACTGTGTGTGAGGGTGATTGTGTGTGTGAGGGTGACTGTGTGT